GGATACAGGAAATAAGAAACATAAATGGTTGGTACAAAATAGACAGGGGGAGGTTAAGAATAATGTGGGAAATGGAGAAGCCAAAGAACTTATACCCATGATCCACGGACATGAACTAAATTGGGGGGGAGGGGAATGCTGGAGGGCATGGGGGTACCAGGCAGAGAAGGATAAAGGGGAGAAAAAAGGAATGGGACAACTATAATAGCATAATCAATAAAAAGAAAGACGAGATGAGAAACACAGCGACATGACTGGTTCCACTAAGAAGGAAAGAGATGGGACAGGGAAGACCATCCAGGGGCTTAAAAGATAATGGTAATGTTCATTTCTTAAACTGGGTGGGTTTTGTGTCACTATTCTTATATCTTACATGCATTCTATAAATCATTTCGTAGACTCTCAATGTTATTAAAACATGTAAGAGAAAAAGATGAAGAAGAAATGGCTGAAGTTTGCCATGATGAGAAAAGCATCAGTGAATTGACAAGGGGATGGTGCGTGCTCCTTCCTAACCTAGAGGTTGCCCTGGATAAAGTAATCTCCTATAATTTTGTCTTTTCATTTTTGATTGGGGTGAACAATACATACCACGCATAAATCTTCTAAGGATCACAAAAGGCAGTGGTGATGAAAGTGCCTTGTAAAAGTAAAATGGCCATGCAAATGTGAAGTGGCATTATTCTTGACAATTTCAAACTCACTTGCAGGAGAACAAAAGCCACAGCTCGTGACTCAGTCCTAAACCCCTCACTGGGGCCCGCCCTGGTTACAGAAACAGCTGTGGCACCAGTCTGTGCTCCTCTCCACGCCCAATCCCACCCTTTCACAGCAGCACTCACCAAATTCCATTGTAAATGTTGCTTCCTCCCACCCACCCACCCCCCAACAATACCCTTAAAAATCATACCCTCTAAGCCAACAAAAGATTTGTTATTTGTTCAGGGTTTTGTTTTATTGTTTAAATCCATGTTCCTGTTTCCCTCCACTACCATGGATGCACCTAGGTATTCAGCAGGTGGACTGAGAGCTTTTGTTGATTCTCTTTAACCTGTTGTTTGGCTCACCCACCAGCTCCCTGGAAATGAAGGGTTAGGGCTTTCCCTGAGCCCTGCCTGAGGCAGTGGGTCTTTGACCACAGAAACAACCCCTCCTTCCTCTTTGTATGAAGATCTTCTTGGTTCAGAAAGCTCTGAAAGCAGGGGAGAGCAGGGGCAGGAATTTCTCTTTGTAAACCTTGGATCTGTTCGTGGTAGGTGTGTCTTAGGTGTAGCCAAGTTGCTTTACTTGGGGATTTATGGCTGGAAGTCAAAAAGTTCCCCTGCTGACACCCACTTGGCATCCAAGTTCTATCTTCCTCTTCACAGAAAGGTCTCCTTGATGGCCAGGGTTGTGGTGCCTCCCCAGGGGTTCAGGAAAACATCCCAACTCTTCCCACAGCATCTTTCTGCCCACATGAGGGCACTCGCTCCACACCCCAAATTATGAGTCACTGCTGGCCTGAGGTATTTTCCAAAGAGACTTGAATGGAGCCAAGGCTTGGACGGGGCTGGGCAGACTGGGAGCCGGAGCCTGGGTCCCTTCCTGTGGTCCAGCCATGGAAGTCCCTACTCCCTGCAAGGCAGAGGAGACCACTAGAGAAGGAAGGACTCCGACAGGTGATGGTTCCAGCCTTCTCAGGACGTCCCCGCCCCAGGGAGGAAAAAGAACTACTTCCACAAAGTTGGGTCCTCAGGGAAGTGGGAGGTGAGTAAGAGGGGAAGACGGACATGGTCTTACTCTGAAGTCCCCAGAACCTACAGAGGAACTTGCCTGGTTCAAACTAGGCCTGGAGGGGACAGAACTGTGACAAATGCTTTACTGCCCTGAGACAGTTTACTCTTTTGCCCCCTACTCCCACCTTCTCCCTGCAAACACTAATAATGCAAACGGTGCTGATGGGTTCCTGGCGCCTGAGAGTCAGTCTTGGTTTCAGGAAATAACCAGAGTGATTCCTTCTTCTGAGGCTGCAGAAATGGGCAGGGCTTTATACTGACAGAAAGGCTTGAAGCTGCAGTTTGCCCAGCTCCAGGGACCCCTCTGCCCCCCCCCTGCCCCGCCCCATGACTCATATGTTCCTACAGCTGCCAGCTCCTCAGACCGCCACCCCAACACAAAGGATGCTGACCCTGAATGCAGGGACAGGCTGCTAAAGCATGCCTCCCACCTTAGACCAGGGTGTGGGCAGGTGCAGTGAACTCAGCCGTCCTCAGTGGTCTCAGAAAGAATAACCCGGGCCAGGCTTCGGGTATGCCACCTGCGTCCTCTCGGCCCCCACTTCGCCATGGTGAGAAAGTGAGCTGGCCCAGCCCAGGGCCCTCCTGGCTCTTCTTCTCTCACCATACCCAGAGCAAAACACATCTTCTGGAACCCTGCTAGGACTGTCTCTCCCCCACTCTGAGCCCTTCGCAGCCTGGCTCAAACACCATTTCTCTTCCCAAGCCCAACCAGAACCCTCTCCACTGAGGATCACTTGAGCCTTTGTCCAGAGGGGGTACCTTTTCTAATTCACGTAATGGCACCTTAGGAGCAAGCCGCCACCTTGTCAGAGTTGGATCCGCCATCCTGTGGACCTTCCCACCAGCTCCCCTGGCCTGGTGAGTCACTGAGTCACTCCTAGAGCTTACTGAACACACCCTCTGCCAGCTGGGACAGCACCAAGCAGAGGAGGAGGCAGAACTCATTGGAAAGCAAGGACAAATGATTAAAGTTGACAAAAATACGTATATATTTATTATACAATTACCCACCACTGGATTGGACTTAAGCCAACTAGAGGGTGCCTCTACCTTCCCAATTTATCCTTAGCCACTAAGAAGCTCATGGTAGAACATAACCAAGGCCCCGGAAAAGTGATACGTTCCTGGAAGTTCACCACCTGGTCCTGTTCTGGTCCAGGCCAGCCATTGGCATTCCACTTTGGAATTTCTGAAACTTCTAAAGTGTTACAGTGAAAAATTCAGACTCAGTGGTGATGAGAACCTGGGTCCTCTCCCTTTCCCCCTCCCAGGCAGCCCTCTCTCATATAAGTGGCTCAAGGGAGTATTCACTTGTCACCAAAGATCCCAATCCACCTTGGGTTCACTGGGCTTGACCTCTCCTTTGCTCCTACTCCTCACTCAGAGGGAGTGACTACCAGGCTGAGAGTATCCCCCAGCCCCTCAGGGGAGTGGACCAATGAGCTGTGTGAACTAGGACCCCAGCATGCCAGTCAGATGCATTTAGCACCTCCCCCTGTCTAATCTGCTTCTAAAGGGCAAGAGGTAGGAAGAGCTAAGGAGGATGATGGTTCAAGCATTCTAAGGAGCAAATAGGGCTGCAGCTGGAAACTGTCCTCAAAGGGTTCCAAAAGAAGTAGGGAAGTGTGGGGTGTGGGAAGCAGAGGCTGAACACCCAGCCCTTCACGCACAGCCTCACAGGGCCACACGCTGCAGGCTGACATACCCGAGAAGTGCCCTCTCACACTCCAGAAAGCCTACGGCAGGAGCCATGCCACGGGAAGCCTTAGCCAGGATCCAGCCCACACTCCTGACTCCTGCACAGACCTGCCCAGTCTGGAGTCCGCACAGTGGGCCTGGATGGTGGGGGTGGCTGCACCAGCCCTGGGGTGGCTGAGGGACCACTGACCTGGCCAGAAGTCCTCTTCTAGCTGCAGCCAAGCCAAAGGGAGCATGGAGGGGATGCACTGAGTAATCCAACTGCCCATAGCCGCTGGCCAGGGGTGTACCACACCCCACCCCATGGTTTGCTCAACACTCACCCGTCCCACTCAACTTTTCGTGCTTCCTGCTCTGGAACCGTTGAAGAGAGCAAGGGAGGGGACTAGCAGGAAGATGGGGGCCCAATGGAGACCACTGCTCAGTTTGCTTGCCTTGGTGACAAGTGACATATGGTGACAAGTGACCTCCTGGAGAGCCAGAGCAGTGTGTGTGTGTGTGTGTGTGTGTGTGTGTGTGTGTGTGTGTGTGTAGGGGGAAGGTGGAAAAAGGTGCCCCACAGAGGGTGTTCAGGCTCAAACCTAGATGAAATGAAAGAAGGGGTGTAGCCAGTGACATGATTTACATTTTGAAGGACTTCTACACCTATCCACCAGCAAAAATAAATTCCTACTACCAAACAACTTCCTCCTCCCACCCCCAGCCCCTACCCTGGAATTCTACCTTCTACCTGGAGCTTTAGGGTTATGAGCCTGCCTGCCTGTGGGCCTCACTAGTTACTTCCCCTCCACCGAGGGAAATGGGGTGGCTGGGATTTGCTGCTACCCAGGGGGGAATGGAGGAGAGGGAAGAGGGCTGCCAAGTTTGCCCATCTTTTTTTTTTCTTTAATGAATCAGTTTTAGAGAAAGAGAAGAAAGACGAGAGAGGAGAGAGAAATAATGTGTTCCACTTATTGATGCATTCATTGGTTGATTCTCATATGTGCCCTGAGGAATTGAACCCACAACCTTGGAGTATCAAGTCTATGCTTTAAACAACTGAGTGACCTGGCCAGGGACCAAGTTTACCCTTCTTTTTTAATTATTATTTTGTCTTATTTTTTATTTTGTTTTGGTGGGGGGGCAGGGTTAGGGTTTTGTTTTGGTTTGGTTTTGTCCTTCTTATTAGTGTTGTCAGGGTAAATTCCTGTGAGCTGGTGACAGGTCAGACTGGCTGGCCCACCACCACCACCACCCTCAGTTACCACACCCCAGACAACCCCAGTGTCCTCACTCTCAAAGCGCTTTCCCCTTTAGCTTTCTCTGCATCTTAGCAGCAACCATGGAAGGCAAGCGAAAGCCTGGCCCCACTTCCCCATTTTCCAGAAGGGCAAAACTAAGCCTGGATAAGCTCAGTGATGTCCACAGTGAAGACCAGGAAGACGAGTGGGAGCCCAAGGCTCTAACACCCGGAGGCTCTCAACCCACTCGAGGAGAAGCTCTGCCTTGCCCCACCCCACTCCCGGCCAAGGTGGACAAAACGTCTTCAAAGCTAGCCTCCAGACACCTGGAGTGGAAAAATCTTTATTTCCTCTGGTGGAAGGGAAAGCTGAAGCGGGGTCCACCTGGGAGGGAGAGGGGTGCATAGGGCCGCAGAGCATCTGTGAAAGGAGCCGCAGAGGCTGGGGCAGCAGTTGAGCCCTGTCATTTGTGGTCCTCCAGGAAGAAGTCATTGTAGGCCATGCACAGCGTTGTCAGGAACACCGAGTACTCCTTAAAGTCGATCTCCTGGTCGCAGTTTTTGTCAAGGCTCTTCATCAGGTCATCGATACTGCCCTCCTGCATCTTCTTGGAGGGCCCAGGTACAGGGACACATCAGCCAGCCCTCGCAGCCCTGCCCCACCCCCGCAGGTGCCTCCCACCCTGGGAAAGGCAGCCTCACGGTGACCCCCACCTGAGTCGGCAATGCCTGAGCATCTGGACCCCCAGACCCTCCCCAGCCCACACCCAGCACAGGGCCTGGCACAAAGCAGGGGTGTGGGGACCTGACACCTGAACTTAAATAAATTACAATAGGAAGGCAAGGCCACCCTCCCTCTCCCCCACCACTTTCCACACTCCGGATTTTATATAACACCTGACAGTAACCGCTTGGTGACAATGTGGCATTGAGCATGACCCGAGTCTCTGACTTATGCTGTCCCTATGGCGGATAGGTGAGGACTGACCCATACTACACATCTATCCCTGACAGCAGTGTTGGGAGCTGGGGAGATGCAGTATCCTGCCCTGCTAGCAGAACTTGCAGGGCAGCTGGACAGAGATGAGTGCCTGGCGCCCAACCGTAATCCCTGTCTGGTCCCCTGCCCTCCCAGCCCAGCTCCACCAAGAGAATGGAGACAGGGCCCTGGAGTGGTACACAAAGAAAACACAGACACCCTGCCCTCCTCTCCTCACAGGGGGAAGCTCCAGCCTTTCCACAGGAGACAGGACATCGGGACATACAGAGATGGAAACAGCTTGTCTGTGATGCAATCCTTGTCCCCAGTCTGGGCTCCTGTTATAGAGCCAGACCCTCCCCAGGGCCTCTGTCCTCCTGTAATTAACCCCTACTGGACCCGGGGCCCCTCCCTCTGCCCTCATTAACTCCAGGATGCAGAAAATCTGGCAGGAAGGCCAGAGAGTAGGCCTGGTGACATACACACTTGCTTCAGTCCCCTGCCCACAGGGGCACACTTGGAGGAGCTCCTCTCTGGGGAGGCCCTCCAGGGTTCAGTATGACTGAATTTTAAAGGGCAAGGGAAGAGTGATGCACAGGTCTTGCCTGGAATTCCAGCTCAGCCTCTCACAAGCTGGATGTCCCTAAACAAGTCATATAATGTATGTGAGACTCAATTTTTTTAACTGTAAAAATAATACCATAACTACTTCCTAGGCTGTCCCCTCTGCCAGTTACCTCTCTCCCAACATCTGCATCTGGTAACAATCAGTTCCGCCTCCTTCCAAACCTGTGTTCACAGACTGGCAGAACTATCCTTTTGGTTCCTGAGGCAGCACCAGCTGAGAGCTCTGCTTGGGGGGGCTCTGCCCTTCAGCGGTGTCCAGCCCAGCCTAGTCCCCCTGCGTCCCCTCATCCCCTGCAATGCCTCACATAGGCTCTGCCACCCCTGTGTGGGCCTGGCCTCAAATCAGAGATTCCTTGATTTCATTCTCTAAAGCCTCACCCAGACTTCCTTCCTCCCAGTGAAATCCGACTTACCCCGCAGCCTAGAGATCTAGAGTTCTGTTGGCCTAAGGCGCTCACCTTCTTCCTTTGGTCTCTGTCCCTTTTGGCCACCCTGCTCCTGGCTGAGACTAGAGTGCCCTGTGGGTAGGTGTGTGTCCCCTCATTCTGGGTCTCTATGAAGGCAGGGCTGGGTCTCCCACCTCTACTGGGACTCCACGACAGTGGTATCAATGCTTCGGTGCTTCCTCTTTTTCTCTCTCCATTCCCATGGGGCCCACAGGGAACACATGAACTTGGGTGGGTGAGGGGGCAGCCACCTACCTCGCCCAGACACAGCTCCTTCTTGATCAGCTCCTTTAGTTCCTTCCTACTCAGGGTCAGTTTGCTGCCCTCTCTCCCCGAATATTTGTGGAAAGTGGTGACCATTGTGGCCAGGGCCTTCTCAAGAGGGGTCTCCATGCTGGTGTGCAATTCTGGAGGGGAAAGGGAGGGGACAGGTCATATTTCCTGGGAAGCCAGGTCTTCTGCTGCCCCCTATCACTAGCCCATCTCCAAGACCCACCCCTCAAGGATCAGAGACTGGAATCCATGAAACCAAATCCACCAACAGGTGGACTCAAGTGTGTCAAGGATGGTTCTAGTGAGAGCCAAGCTCGAGTGGAACAGCCAGAGTGGTGAGACTGACCAGCTCCCGAAGGAGACTGCACACCGCCCTGCTCAGGGGGTGTTAAAAAGGGGGTCTAGGGGCTGAAGTAAGACAAGATGAACTCTCCAAAAGAAGAACTGGTGATAGATGATGGAGCAGATAAAAGGTCAGGATTTCCTCCCTGCCCCATCCAGCCTAGACATTCCTTTCGAGAGGCACCCTAGTCACCCTCCTTTGCCTCCTGTCCTATGTGGGAGTTGGGAACAGGGAAAGGAGAGAGTTCAGAGGTTGGAGGGGGCTAGAGCTGGACCCAGGAGATATGATCTCAACAGGAAACAGAACAGAGGTGATTGGACTTGTCCAGCTGGTCTCCAGTCTCTGGCCCAGAGAACTGTGCCGGGAGACTGGCCCCGAGGCAGCAAAGGGGGTGCACTTATTGAATTCTCCAGATCATTCTGACAGCTGGATCCAGAGGTAGCATTGGATGGGGCCCTCTGGTCCATCAGCACAGCCACACCCACCCAAGTAAGGAGGCAGCTGGAGCTCCTGTGACTCAGACTTGAAAACCACTTCCCCCTTTAGGAGGAAGGAGGCAACACCCAAGGAACTTGGAGGCTTCAGGTAAATCTGCAGAGTCCAGAGTAAGCAGAAAGAAGCTGCTAGCTTTCATTGTCAAGCCAAAGACCACCCCATGATTCTTGAAGTGGACCTGTCATTCACCTCACAGCTCCCCAAAACCTCAGCTTCTCCCCACCTTCTGGAGACTCAGCCAGGACCAAAGTGGAGGCAACCCTAGAATCCCTCTCAGGAAATGCTGAAAGCCACAGTTCAAATGCTCTCTCTGTTCTCCTTTCCCTAAATAGATGCCTACTCATTGGGCCGGGTCTCCCTTGGTGGAGGTCGTCATGGCTTATCACCCTCTGGCCTCATTGCCCAGCTTGCCCTACCATATAGATGAGCAGGAGATCAAAAAGAAGGACTCACCAAGGAAGGACCAAGCCAGAGAACTCACGCAGCAGAAACAGGCTCCCTTCCACTTTTCTCCGCCTTTATTCCCTCTCTCCAGTCCCCAGGAAATTAACAGAGGGACAGAGCCAATGAGAAGGGGCCAGGGACATGAAGAGACCCAGGTCAGAGTCTCCTGGGACAGGGTTGGGGAGAAATCCCCTCTGCCAATCTCACCTTTCTATTTCCAAAGGAAGGGACGTCACACTGAGCCCACTGTGACTTACACATCATCAGCTCTGGAAGCTTTGTTTCCCCACAGAAACCCAGAATTCACAATCTGATGGGTCAATAGAGCAGAAGAGAAGCCAGGCTATCCTCAAAAGAAGACCCAAGAGGAGTGGACCAAACACAGGGTATCTCCCATGCCCCAGGCTGCTGTCCACTTGGGCCCTCCTAACCTCTTCAAGAGCAGAGCAGACACACCTGGAGATGGGAACTAGATGGGAAGATGTTTTTTGTCAAGGCGATGGTCCAGGTCACTAGTTAGTATAGAGCTTAAGGTTTTGAAATGGCTTTCAAATGAATGATTTCTTCTACACCTCATTTAACTTCCTGAGAAAGAATTGTCAGAGATTCTTGGGCTGGAGAACTGGAAATCAGGGCCTGGGGAGGGGGCCCGGGAAGGGTAGTCCTGGTGATGGGCTAGAGGTTTGGATTGTGGACAGCAAGTTCCAGGTGCAGTAATGAATGGGATAGGGGTCAGGGAGAGTTGCCTTATCCCAAGAGAGACTCATTGTTCTACCACGAACCAGGGCAAGTCTGAGAACAGAACAGAGTTGGGGCTTAGCACCTGTGGCTGCTGCAACCCCACCCTAGCTTGCCTAGGTCTTCTCTGCAGCCCCACTCCACTTCCACCCCCAGCTGGCAAGGCTAGAAAGGCAGCAGGGACTGGTTGCCTAGCAACAGAAGTTTCCGAAGCAGAGAGTGAAACTGGAGGAGGCTCTGGGGAGGGCACTCCCCAGGGTTATGGGCAGACTTGGGGCAGGGCGGAAGGCAGAGAGAGAAGAGGGAAGAGCCAAACTTTTTCCTCGACCAAAGTTCTACCAAAGTCTCTGTAGTCACACTGAGGGAATATCTGAGTCACCTACCCCATTCTTCTGAAACTTGAGAGAAAAACACAACATAATGAGAAGAAAAAGGGAAAGCTTAGAAGGTCAGGGGGACAAATACCCCCTGCCTCTGGACCTGCCCTCTACTCAGCTCTTCCCTAAAGGTCCCCACACCACTCAGGTGTGGCCTGGAAAGCTAACCTCAGTCCCACTCACTGGAGGCTGAAGCTACTTCCCTTTAACCTACAGAAAAGCAATGCCATGCCTGATATTTTGGGGGTGGGGGATTCTCAATTTTATTTATCAGATCATATGTCTGGAATTTTGCCTTCAGAATTGTGGTCGCCTCCCACTGTCTCCCTCACTGTCCTCCACTCACCCCCTCCGAGCTGCTCTGTCCTTCTGTGAAGGAATGTGATCCCTAACTAATAACAGATCTCACTCATCCCAGGACCTCTGGGACAAAGACGGGGGGGTTAGAGAAGGACAATATTCTCATGCTCTTGCCAACAGCTGGGTCTCCCTCCAGGTCGCCCCTTCGATCCGATCCTGTCCAGGGAGGACTCACCCATGCCTGGGGGTTTAAGTCGTGCCCTGGAAGGAGGTACCAGGACGGAGCCCGCCTCCACATCCCACACGGCCTCCCCGTGACTCAGCCCGTTCCCCCACTGCACCCTCAAGGCACACAAGCTTCATCCCAGACACCAACCAGGAGCAGATGTGACCTTCCACCCATCCCAGCCTTAGTCAGAGGTCCGGCCAGAGCCACCGTTGGAGGGGTGGGAGTAGCAAATGCCCCGACTAAGATCCTAGAGCTGGCACATTCCAAGCCTCTGGGCGTCCCTTTATCTGCATTTGGTCCACTCAGAGTTGACTCTGTCACACACATACACACACAGAGTCACACTACATCCCTCCCCCATCCTCCAGTTCTCTCCACAAAACTGCAGCTCAACTCCCATATCCCTTAGCCCCCACCCCATGCCCCTAGTGTCTTTCAGACCATTAGACTCATACATAGTTTTCAAAAATCTTTATTGAATTTGATCAGCATCCTGCACACATCCGGAGGAGCCAGGATGAGGCTTGTGCCCACTGCCCACAGGGAACACCCCAGCTGGCAGGCTCCCACCGCATCTGAGGAGCCCTCATTTCTTCCGGGGCTGCTTATCAGGGAAGCCCTCGAAGAACTCGTTGCACATCATGGCGATGCAGGAGAGGAAGACACAGTACTCCTGGAAGTCCACCTCGTTGTCCTTGTTGCTGTCTAAGTTGCTCATCAGTTTCTGGAATGCTGCTTCATCTGTCCTTTTCTGCAGGGGGAAGAAGCTACAGGTAGACACCAGCACCCCAAGGGATGGAGCCAAGACTAGACCAGGTTTCCACATGCAGACGGGCTCAGGAAGGTGCAGCCAGTGCTGGGGGGTACAGCTTTGGAACTCTAGCCTCCAGAACTAAGCTAGGCCAGGAGGTGGGTTCCCTGCAAATGAGGAAATCTGAGTCCCAGGATGTTACTGGAAAAGGGGACCCCATCTTCCCCCAAGGTCTTTTTGAGAATCCAATTAGCAAATGGTCATGAAAGCAGTACATAAACTGCATCAAGTTTGATACAGGTAGAAGCTGTGCCTGATCAGGGGAAATAAGCAGGTGAGTGTCTCCTTCATTGTCTTCACATCTAAAAGCCAAATAGAAACTCAAAAATTGTTCTTTGCTGGAGTGATGGTGGACCATCCTGGTTCACAGATCTCAGCTTTGCACACTGACTACCTCAGGATGTTACTTAGCTTCTCTGAGCTTTGGTTGCCCTTCAGTGAATTTGTGCAAAGCCCCTGGCCAATCGTCAGGCTGGTAACCTGCCTGTTCATTCTCAACCACCTTTCTGCTGGGCACCAGGAAGTAAGTGGTAGGTGCTCGCTCTGTCTCCACCCCAGGCAACCAGAGCAAGCTCTCTGCCCCACCTTCCCCAACTCAGTGTTAGATGCCAGCTGCAGCCACTGCTCTGCAGAAAGACTCGTGCCTCCCAGGGCCCTAACCCCTCCTCTGTGGGGGATGCCCCACAACGGAGACTCAGAGACTCGTTCCCAGGCAGTAGTCACTCACCCCCAAGAAGCTGGGCATCTCCCGAGTCAGCAGGTCCTTCAGCTCCGATTTATTGAGCTTGAACTTGTCACCTTCCTTGCCCGAGTACTTGTGGAAGGTAGACACCATCACATCCAGGGCCTTCTCCAGAGGGTATGCCATGGTAGCAGTCGAGATCTGCAGATGGGGGGTCACAGAGGCCTCCTTATCTACCCCACCCCAGCTATATAATTAGAATGCTTCACCCCACCTCCATCACTCAAGTATCCTTGGTAACATTCTACTCCCACCACAGGGGGAGCCCAGAAAGGTGGGGCTCAAGCTCCTGGGGGGAGCACAGTGGGAAATGTATGTTTTGGCAGGACACACTTGCAGGATCCACTGCACAGGCTCTGGGTTTCAGGCAGCAAACTCCCGGGGCCTCACTCGGTCCACTCAGCCCACAGGAGCCCGCCCAGCTCATTCTTCCCCCTCCCAGTGTTGGGCGAGGCTGCTGGAGCCTGCCCAGGAGCCTGTAGCGGAAAACACCAGCGGTCTAGCATAGGGAGGGGCAGGGTGAGGTGGCAGTCAGGGATGCCGGGGAGGCTGAGCACCCATGGGCCGGACTGCTGGGTGCTGGGCAGAGGTTCACGGACACTACCGGACAAAAGCTCACAGCTACCTTCTGCCTCCACTTTGCTTCCCACACCAGAGTATGCACACACAAGCCCGTGCAAGCCAGCAAACACAAGCCAATGTGCACACCCACAGGTCACACGTACACCAAACATACTAGAGCAACTGAACGTACTATAGCTCAGATCCAGCCACCTGCACACATCTTTCTCTTTGTTTTCTCTTTTGCACATGCAAGGGTGTGCACGGCACACACATCCCACACCAAAGCCTCCACCTTGGAATCTCACATCTGGACCTCATTAGCACATCTGGCCCCTACCAGCCACCTCTTTTTCTTGCCCTGAGCCTCAGCCTGCCACCTCTTGCTTGCCAGTCAAGTGACCACAACTCACCAGTCCAAGAGAGAGGAAGCGCTGAGGAGAGAGGGTTGGGGAGACAGGAAGAGTGGGGAAAGCCCAGCGGTCTGACCTATTTATACCCCAGCCAGGCCCTGCCCATGGCAGCGGATGGGGGAGAGCAGGAGGCAGCCCTCCTGCCTGGGCCAATGTGGTGCATGCCAGGGCCCCCTCCACCAGCCCAGCCTGGAAACACAGCTCCCTGCCCTGAGGGGCCAAAGAGAGACAATGGGGGAGCCCAGTGGGCACAGGCAGGGGCCTCAGTGAGGTGGGCACCCTCCCCCCACAATGCACACCACCCGTTCAGCCTGAGTTTTAGGTACCTGAAGGAAGGGGCAGTCTATGCCTGGGAATGGGGAGCAAAGAATAAGTGGTCCCACCCGGCAGCTAGGAAGGGGATCCAGGTATGGTGGGTGGTGGGTGGGAAATGGCCCTGGAAACGTGACTGCCCAGGAATTAAGGGACAGGACCCCAGGCTCCTGTGTGTGTGACAGAGTTGACTCTGAGTGGACCAAAGGCAGATTAAGGGACCCCCAGAGCTTGGAATGTGCCAGCTCTAGGATCTTAGAGCAATTGGGACAGCTCACGCTGCCTTTCTCCCCTCCCCGAAGGACTCTCTACCATGCTGAGTGAGGCTCAGGGCAGGAGCTGGAGGTCTGGGAGGGGGAACAGGCTCACACCTAAATGAGGCACTGGGACCACGGAAGCTTGTCAGTGGAGAAGGGAACCTGGGTGAGGTAGTGATGAGTAGGGAGTAGGAATCAGGTGTGGGAGCTCAGGGATGGATTGGCGGTACCAGGAGCAGGTGGGGCAGGGAGGGCCTCCACAGTGGGAGTTTAGAATTGGGTGGGTGTCTAATGAAAAACGGGGTAGAAAGTTAGACATAAAATGACACAAAATGGGAGAGTTAGGGATCAGGGTTAGCCCCTCAGGGTTGGGGTATGAATTCAGGGACTGAGTGAGGGTCAGAAGCGGTGGTTAAGACCCTCAAGTGGCTGTGGCTTCAGGGATGGGGTACACCTCAAGGTTTCCCCTTCCCCTCCCATTGCAAGGCACCCCTCCCTGGCTGGGACAATACCCTAATCAGATCTCAGGCACCCTAATCCAATTAGTGCTGCGCTCTGGGCTCACACAGCCCTGGGCAGGGAACAAACCCGCCCCAGGCCCACAGCCCCGCCCCCACGGCCCCACCCTCATTCACAACATCCTGTCAGAGGGCTGACTTGGTCCTCAGGCTGCCCACTCTCCCTCCCCAGGCTGCCCTCTCTCCCTCCTGAACAGCCCAAAGAAGCTTGTCCCTCAAAGACCCCAGAGAGAGAGAGACCCCCAGCCTCACCTGGACATCGGCCTTGTGTAGATCCCACCCTCTCCTGCTGGACCATAGAGACCATTTCATTTCTACAGTGTCTGAAACTGCCCTCCGCCTCTTGTTCTCCAGTGGAAAAGGCCAGGGAGGAGCTAAGAAGTCCGCAGACTTTGCCCCAAGGCCCTGGCTGTCCTCTTAAAAGAACCAAATCCAGCCAAGTGACACCAGTTCTTTATTAAGAGTTAAGTAGGCTTGCTCCTGTCGTGGTTTCCTTTGTGCACATACTCGGTCAGGCCCAGAGGGCCTCAAAACAAATCCCCACCCCTGCCCACCCATCTCAGGCCACGGACGGACTCGAGGGTGGCTGGCGTGCACATCACTAGCTGTGATCCTGGAAACAGGTCCCTCATGTGCCCCCTACCATGGGCAAAGGGAGAAAACTCCGATGGGGATACCGGGGGCAAAACTGGGAGACTCCTGGTGCAGAGGGTGTAGGAGAGAGGGGATGGAGGTGAGGGCAACATGACCAGGACCACCTCAGGGCAGAGATGGAGCAGATCTGAGCAGATCCCGGCTTGCAGGGGCCCCACCTGCTGGAGCAGAGGCTACTGGGAGCAGGGAGGCTACTGGGAGCAGGGAGGCTCCGGGGGGCAGTCCTTGAAGTAGTCGTGGCAGTAGGTGCAGACGCAGGCAAGGGAGCGCACATACTCAGCAAAGTCCACCTCGCAGTCTTTGTTGGTGTCCAGAACGCTCATGAATTTATTGTAGTCACACTCCCGGAACTCAGTCTGCGGGGGGTTGGGAGGGATTGATGGGGGCAGGTTGAAGAGGTCAGGACACCTTACACACGCACTGCTTCCCTCCCCTCTACTCCTGCGTGATCCCACCCACCCCCAACCCACACCCCTTTGGGGGCCAGCCTCACCCTCCCCACCCTGATAACTCACCACGCCAACCCCCTCCCAAACCCTCCTTCTTGGGTCCTGTACTGAGCACCGGCTCTTGACACCGAGTGCCTCTATGCGTTAGGCATTCTTCCCAAGCTCTCACTCCATCCTCCCAGCAGCCCTGAAAACCAGCAGGGCTGATGAGGAAACGGAGATTCCGAGTGTCAGTTCCCTTCCTAGTGTCCCCTCCCTGTGGTCTAGCCTCGCCCCTCTTGCTGTCCCATGCTCGGAGCTCGTCCAAGCAGTGCTTCCCTGCAGGGTCGGTACCCCAGGTGCTCACCGGGGTCCAGGTGGGCAGCTCCTTCTGTAGCAGCTCCTTGAGCTCTGCCTGGCAGAGCTTGTGCTTGTCCCCACAGCGCCCCGCATATTCTCGGAAGGTGCACACGATGGCAGCCACCGCCTGTTCCAGAGGCCTGGCCATCCTCACTGTTACAGAATAAGGATGTGAACCACAGCGGAAGCCCCAGTCCCCCCCCCCCCCCGCACCTGAATCCTCCATGTTTCTGGGCCTGCTCCCAGGCCTGTCTTAATCTCTACCAAACTTCTGGCCCTACAAGCCCCTTCTCCTCTGAGCAGCCCACCCTGATTATACCAGTGTCACCTAATCTACCTCCCTACTGCCTATCCCTCCCACCTGGACATTATTTTCCTGGACAGAGGTCTCATTTCCCCATCATCTTGGCATAGGGACTCCCTGATTCTCTCCACATTTTCTCATTCCAGACACCCAAGAAAAATCTATTCCTTCTGCACCACCCTAGAACATATAGCCCTTAGCCCTGGAAGCTTCTTCCCCTTCAGGACCCCAGAGCTTCTGTAGAAACTTACTCAAAAAGACCCTTGCCCCATGCTCCATGCTCCCTGTCCTCAGGTTCTTGAAGAAGCTGGGTATTCTTAGGAAAGGTCAGGTCCAAGAGGGACCCCCGCTGCCTCACCACTCCTCACCAGCCCTCCTCCCCTGACTCAGGGAAGCTGCATCCAGAGGAAATACTTCTGGGACCCTCTTGCCTCTCACTAGCTGTGCAACCCTGGACGAGCCCTTTACCTTGCCTGGGTCTCAGGTGCCTTATCTGTAAAGTGGGGTCAATCCCATCTCAGCCCCAGTCAGGCAGGTGCCACATCTATAAAGTAGGGCCAGTCTTACCTCACAGGCCCAGATGGGGAGCTAGATCAGGTATTTGCCTATCTCTAATCTGCCCCATCTGCGGCCATCCCATCTTCCTGACCCTTGGGGGTCTTGTGACAGAAAGCTCTGCATAGGGGTACCCTGTTCTGTCAGAGGGGAAACCCTTTCTGGAATTTCCCTCCACCCCATTCCACTGGCTCCTTTCACTGGCCTTCTGGGAGGACACTTCCAGCCTGGGGAAACCATAAGGCAGCCGGGGAGCCAAGTGTTGTTTTCCTGTGAGCCCCGTGACTCACTCCTGATTCCCTCAGGGGATAGGAGTCTTACAACATAGGAGACCCAGGGCCAAGCCTCTCCCTCTAATGATTCCCCCTCTGCCGGGCCTATGGAACAAATGGCCAGCAAAATGGTTGTGGCTGTGGGGGAAGAAAAGGCCGGGGGAGATGGGTCCAAGCACTCCCAGGGGTCTCTTTGTGGCAGCCCAGGATGGGAGCAGGGTGCCCAGGTTCCCAGGAGGAGAGAGGGCCATGATCCCAGACAAAGGAATCTCAGAGGTGCTCAGCTGCCCTCCTAGGCTCCCGCCAGCCTGCCCAGTGCCACCACTGTTGCTTTTCCAGAAGCTCTGTGCCTGTAAACTGGAGGGAACCCTCTCTTCCTCCAAGCAGTCTGACTTGCCTCGACCCGCGGTCAGCAAAGAAGAAAGAAGGCAAAGGGGAGGAGGAGGGAGCTAACTGAGGGCAGCACCAGTGCTTTTAACCCATTGCCCCCACCCAGGCCCAGACCTCAGCTCTGCACACCCCCTAACCCAAACTTCCCAACAGCCCCTCACCGCACAAGGGAAGCCCTGAGTCCACTACATCTGACTTCCCTCACCTCATCAACCCCTGCTGTGGTTATCCCTCCAGCCCCATGCCCAGCCCTGGGCCAGGAGACAGGTCCCGCGCTGCCTAACACCCCGACCAGAGCAGGACCCCAGCAGCTGGCACTCACCACTGGTGTTGGTGTTTCAACTGTAGGAGCCTAGAAGCAGCACGCCCCTATTTGTAGTCTGCCAGGGAAGGAAGAGGGCAATTATAGGAGAACCCAAGCAGGTCAAGCGGAGGATGCCCCCAGGGGCTCCCCCTCTTTCCGGCAGCACCTATTACTGGGGCTGTCACCCACCCACCTATCCACGCACACATCAAAGGCCCAGTCTGGGCCTCAGTCATCACCCACTTCATTCCTCCTCTGCCCTCCCCCAGAGCTGGGAACTGGGGCGGCCTCTCCCCCAGCTCCTTCTGGACTAGTCCATCACTCCCACCCCCTACACTTCACTCTGGACAGGCACCACAGAATACTAAGTGGGAACACACTCTACCTGGAGTAAGTTTGTACCCCAGAGAACCCTTGTGCCAGGGGGATCTTGGAACATCTGGCTGAGCCTGTCACTTACAGATGACAAGAAGGAAGCCAGGGGACATTCCCCTGCCTGATCTCCATTGCTTTGCATTTGGTTGCTTTGGGCTGGTGACTGTAACTGCTCACTGCCCTGAAGAGATCACCTGTAGGATGTGTGAGGGAAGAAAAAATTTTATTTTACCCTTCTAAGTTCTTTGGCTGGTCTAATAATCAAATGAACAGGAGAAAAATATGGTTAACTTTGTATGTACAGGGGTCTCCATAAGAATATGGGGTCTACAGGTGGTCAGACAAGAGGGGTGATAAGCTATTAGGAACTAAAGAGAAGGGAGCTAGGGTCTGGGGCTTCAAAGGAGAGAAAGACAATTCACATGGAGGTGGAAAAACAAATGTTTGCTGGGCCCAGAAGAGACAATGGGACACAAAGAGGACTCTCTCCGACGCTGGAAGAGTCTCCCCTCCCCCACCTGATTCTCCCCTCCCCCACCCAGCCCACATTCTTTGCAGATCTTTCTGGTAATAGTGCTGTTCTTGGACCAGGTCCTTTATTTAAATTCTTTTAGGCAGCTAAGAGGGACATAAATACCCTTCCTGAGACTTTTGGACATCTATTGTCTTCAGCTCAAAGAATCCGCAAGCCAGGGTGGTGCATTCTGGGGATACGCATTCTGAACCCCTACAGATGTCTTTGAGACACAGGAGGAAAATGTGTTGCTCATAGGGGCACTCGCAGTGGTCTAGCTGGGCTGAGTTCTCCCACCAACCCCTGCACCCCCGGCCCCCACCACTGCCAAGGTGCCTTAAATGAAGGTGGACCGCGGAAATGTGCCTGGGCCGCCTATTTCCTGTCTTCCCCAGCCCCCTTCAGCACCACCGTTCCTTGCAATCCCATGAAGTGGGTGGGATGGGTTTCCTCTGGTTTTTAAGCTTAAACCATTTAGGGTCACAGCATAATGGAGAGGAGTCCCCCTTGTCTCCCCACCTCGAGTGGACCCTGGGCTTTAGCTCTGTCTTCTTCACTTCACAAACCAACAAAACTAAAGTTCTTCTTGGTTAGTTCGGTCAGTGCCTTCAGGGCACAAGGGGCCCTGGTGCCCTGCTCACCTCCTGGAGTCTGCTTTTACTTAGACTGTGATTTCTTCATTCCTTACTGCTTTGTCAGAACTTACATACTTGAAAAAAATTTTTTTAATCTGTGCAGCATTTCTTGATGTTTTTAGCTGGAGCAGGCACAGATTTCCTTGTTACCAGAAACGGAAATCCCTCTTGCGGGGTTCAGAACAGGCCTCTCCGAGAGGTAACACTTGGGCATGTGATTTATTTTGAACTGAAGGCAATCGAGACCCTATGGGCTCATGAGAACAGTTTACCTCTCCCTTAAAGAATTTAAATTAGTGGCTTTGTCCATAATAAGAGTATCACCAGAAATAACTTTTACGAACTACCTACATGGCAGTGCAAACATCTAATTACTGAACACCGGCTCTTTTTATCATCCTACCAATAAGCCTCCCCTCTGAAGCCCCACCTCCTGACCCCATCCTTGGCTCAGAATGTCATACATACCTCATTTTAACTTTCTGTCTCTGAACCCTGCATGTATGTGGGGTCTCTGACTCTCTCGTGTATGTGGGGTTTCCATGTGTACATCTGTAATTAAATTTGGCTATTATCTTTTGTTAATCAGGCTCATGTTGATTTATTAGACCAGCTGGAAGAACCTAAAATGGGTAAAGGTAAGTTTCTTCCTCCCCACACTTCATATTCCTTCTTCATTCCTTATCCCTGAGCCTGAGAGACCCCTTCACATTTCACAACGGAGAACCCAAGACCCAGAAGAGTGTTGGACAGGGAGGAGAGGTCACGTGCCAGGCCTCTGAAGAAGCCCCAGCGCTTGTGGAGGTAGACCAAGAAATGACATCATGAGCTCACCCTGGGTCCCCAGCACCCAAACCTTGCCTGCGCCATCATCTCCTCGGAGACAGCCCCTGTGGCTGAGGGGAGTAAACAACGGGAGAGAAATGGGGGCTGTGATTAGACCTGTTTTATAGACAAGGAGTTATAAGGAGCAGGGCTCAGAAGTGGGGGCTGGAGTGGACCAGCAATTAACTCAGTTCTAGGTCAAGCATTATTCTCACCTCTTATAGCCCAGCTTCCCCTCCAGCCACCTCTTGGCAGCAGGTCACTCCCTTACCTCCACCATCCCTCATTTTCCTCATCTGTCAGTGACCGAGGATAATAATGGGGACCACTTCATAGGATTGCTGTGGGGTTTAAATGAATTCATTTACACGAAGTTTCTATATAAGTGTGCCTGGCTTTTGGTAAGGGCAGAAATGTGAAGGTAACTTGTTCAAGGTCCTGTAACTAATCAGTGGCAGGGCTTAGAGCCATTTATTATTCATATAAATATTTAGAGACACCTGTCCAAGGCATTGAGGATATAGCCATAAGAAAACAAACTGCCATAGTCCCTGTTCTGTGAAGATGACAATTGAAAGCCAAACTCAGACAATAACAAATACATATGCGATACACTGTAAGCAGGCAGATTAAATGCCAGGGAGAACAGTAAGCAGGGTTGAGGGGAAGAAAGTGGTGGTGGGGCCCAGGGAAATTTATACAGGTGGCCCGTCAGAGCAGGGCTGGGTCGCCAGGCTCCCGAGCTACATCCTCATCTCCCAGCCTCTCATGTTTCTCAGCCTCGATGTCTCACCTTTGTTTGCCCAATGGGAGAGGCTGAGATTTCCAGAGCAGGGCAGGCTGGAGCGGGCTGGGGGATGGAGGGGGGGTCTGAGTATAGGCATTTTGGGCTTGGAGGACCACCAGAGAAAGAACCCTTGGTGGGACACTTACTCCAAGCTCCAGCACCCTCTTGCCCACCTGATTTGAGCACACCTTGTACCTAGTTTGGACCTTAATTTCCTTTTCTCCAAAATGTGTTGGGAAGATTCCTAGGCAAGACTCTGACGTGAAAGTCTTGCTATTACCGTCGACAATTCGGGCAGAGGTCTCAGTCTCACTCAACAGTCGCACATAGTCCCCTCGATGGAGGCAGCACAACGGAGGCAGCAGGGAGAAGGGAGGTGGAGGGAGAGAGCCAGGCCCTCCGCACCAGGTCATTTCGTCCACCTTCTACCTCCACGCAGGCAGAGGGCAAAGCTGCAGCCTCTCTTCCCTTGCTCCCCAAGCTCTCCTCACAGTAACTGGAATCTTCCTGCACTGCTGGGAGTGCTGCCCAGCATCCACCGGAATCCCCCTTTCCACAGTGGTTCCAAATGCACGTCACAATAACTGCCCCTCTGAGGCCCTGATGGGACCAGTCCTCCTTTCCCACCCCCACTGTCTACAATGTCCACTTGATTCTCCACCCTGGGCTGGAGCCCTGCCCTTGGCCTCTCACCAGAACTCTCGGGTGGGATATGGAGCTGACTCTGAGAAGTCCACCACGTAGGGAGGGTCTGTCCCCGCAGAGGTAGCACCAGAGTGTAAGGGTGAGAGCAGATGCCATCTTGCCTGGCAGGACTTCTTACAGCACTGACCCTCTCCCCAGCTCTCACTACCTCTGCCCCTCGCCATCACCCCCATCCCTTCACAAAGGCCTCCCGGCAAACTGCCTTGGGCCCTGAAGGTCAGGTCTAGTGCTGCACGTCAGAGAGAAAGATGAAGTGTCCCAGAGCACCTGGGTGCTTACGTGCTTGTGCCAGAGGACTTGGGCCTGAGGGACAGGGTGACCCATGGGGCCAATGAACCTTGTCACACTGATCCACCTCCATTCCCATCACCTAAGGCAAGTACAGAGAAAGCGTGGGAAGGGGTGTTTGATTCCCGGGACTAGAGCCAGGGAGGCCTTCGCTCCAGGACTGGGGGGTAGGGTAAGAAATGGGATCAAAGAGAGCCTGTGGGGTTTAGACCTACTACCCTTCTTGACTGACAAGTCAATGCCCAATTATGCCCACTTCCCAGAATGGCGCAGTGAGTTGGTGGGGAGATCAAGTGATTTAAAGACAGGGAGACCTAAACAGGGAGAGCCCTATTTCAGTCATTCCCCTGTCTCAGAACCCACCTTTGCTTTAAGTCTCTCTTTTCTTAGCGGGTCAATAGGCTGCCAGGGGCTTACCTCAAAGACCAGAGACCAAAGTGACAGTAGGACCCGATGGAAGGTGAGATGTGTATACCTAAGGCTCTCTCTCCTCCCAATCACAGTCCCAGTGGGAGGGGAGAGAGCACCTGGTCAGCGGTCTCGCATGCAGAGCTATTTTCCTGATCCTCCTGCTCTCTGCACCAGCACAGAGATGTGAGAGGAATGTCGGGACAAGGAAAGATTGTTGAGATCAGTTAAGAAAGGCTGACGTTTGTTAGATTGTCAAATGTGCGGAAGGAAATTAGTCCTGTTCAGTCCCTAGCCAGCTGAGGCCAGTCTCCACCAGCCAAATAAGCCCCAGCACCTGGAACTGAGCCCCAACAGAGTCTGGGGTCCACGGTGAACTGTCAGACTATAATATGCTACCACTAGCAATTGGGCCTTGTTCCCCATTGATCCAGAGCATCTGGACTCTGCTCACCTAGAGTCCCTGTCACCTGACACAAAGCCAAGGCTCTGGAGGTGGCTCGGGGAAGGGGAGGAAGGCACAGACTGCCACCCCTGTGTTGCATAGGGGTGAGACCTTTTCTCCGAGACCCAGGTCAAGACCCAGCACGGCTCTTCTTAACCTCTCCCAGCCCCTACTTCCTCTTCTGTGAAGGGCAAGAACTGATGGCAAATCCCTTGTCCAATGCCGAGGAGTCAATGAGATGGCGCTTGGTGCTCAAACAGGCTCAGCACAGAGCCCGGCCAGAGGAAGTGCTCCTGAGTGGTGGGTGTTCTTTCCTCCCAGTTTCCTCACCTGTAAAATGACCTAATAATAGCGCCTCCTGGTGTTACCATGAGGCTCAGATGACAATGTACGCTAACAGAGCTTTGAGAACTGCTGTGGAAATGTTAATTGCCATTATCGTGATTTCCTGACCTATATTCACTGGCTCCCTTTCCTACAGAATATTAGGAAGGTAGGCTTCTCATTTTTTTATTGCTAGAACATACCTGGCCTTGCCTCGCCAGCCCCAGACATGCCGTTAAGGCAGAGGAGTAAGTGAGAACAAGCAAGTTGTCCCAGCATCTCCTCACTCGGCTCCTCTCCATCTCTGGGGAGGAGGAACTCCAGGCACAGCCTTGAACTAATCCGGCAAAGGGTGGTGGGGTTTTTCTTTGGGTGTTTCCGAGGGAATGGGCCCTGAGGCAGAAGCCTGCCATTCTCCCGAAGTTGTGAGTCTTTTGAATAAACAACCTCTTTCCTTTTTCACCAAGCCCCTGCCTCTGGAGTTTGCCTATGGGCAGCGGGCAGTAGAACCCCATTTCTGTTCAGTAACAATCCCAGTCTACTCACAGAACCTTAAGGGATAATAAATTTACATTTTAACTCACCAAGTGTTGGGGTGGTTTGTTCTACAGTAACAGGTAACCAGAAGAGTATCTTTGAGTCACTGAACCAAACCTGAATTGCATACACCAGACTTGCTATTGTATAAAGCATTTAAATGCCAACATTTAATAAGGTTTCCTGTAACTCACAACTGAATATATTCCCAACTGGTAGAGAATTTAGCAACTAGAAGTGAACTCCATTTTAAAAAAAAGGAACCAAAAATGTGGAATTGGATGAAGAGAGAAAAGAATAAAATCTAAGGACCTAACCTTTGCAAATTGGAAAATTGATGACCTTGTTATGAGATGGCAAAGCATGGTCAAACCATCATCTGATAATGCTCCATAGGATGCAAAATATATGGCAATTTTAGGGAAAATGGTAGAAAAAATCAGAATGTTGTTATGAACAAGGTGCTAGTAGCTTTCAGCAGAGACCAACAGGATAGGAATGAACTCTGACTAGAGCTAGCCAATCTGAAAGCAGATATGAAAGGAAATACAGCTTTGCTGGAAACAGCCTATGGCCTGCAATTAGACAAGAAGTCCATGGTACGCAGCCTTGCTGGGTGACTAGACTAACTCACATCTCTCAAGCAGATCCTAATGCCATGACTGCTTGCAGTACTGAATGTCAAAGTCTATCCTTTGTTCTAAGATTATATCTTTCCTTCTTCATTGGAATTTTCTCTTTTTTTTATGAAATGATAGTGATAGTAGACAGAATTTGCCTTTTTTAATATCTTTATTTGGCAAAAAAAAAAGTTAGCAAACTATCTCCATTTCCAAATTTTTACTGGTATTTGAAACCCCAAAGTATGAGACCTCAGGCCTTGGGGAGACTTCTAGAAGGAGAGTCGGGGCCCAGAAGGGGGTCAGATCCAGGAGGCCTTCGGTTTCCAGCACTCCAACTAAGCCAGCCAGGTTACAGGGCATCACTGGATGATTAAAATTTTATCACCAAACAACAAAGTTTACTGAGCACAAAACTAAAAAGATAGGAAGTCTTCCTGGGCCCAAGAGACCAATGGCAGGGAGTCGAGAGCTCTGCTTCAGGACTGGTCTGGGAAGCCCTGGAAGAAGTCATTGCACATAACAGTGACCAGGGCCAGAAAAATACCATACTCCCAGAAGTCCACCTCCTGGCCGCTGTTATCATCCAGGTCTTCTATGAGCTTCTTCAGGCTTTCTTCATCCACCTTCTCCTGAAGGCAAGAGAGAGTGGAGTCATCACCAGGCAGCTCTCCACCCGCCTCTACCCCAAACACACAGTCACTGATCAGAGCCCAGTTCTCCCTGTGAACTGGGCAGCCTGGTAAGCAGGGTGGGGGGGAGTTGGGGGAGAAAGAGAGCCCCTGGGAGCTACTCAGAGGCCCTGTGAGTGAGGACAGATGGATGCTCATTGGTAAGAACATCCAGCTCTTCCTGCTGAGAGTGGGGAGCATGCCGGGTACCCCCTAAGCACGGGGTCAACTCTACTCCCCACAGGAGCCCAGTGAGGTGGGTATCATAACCCCCATTTTGCTGACAAAGAAATAAAGCTTTCTGGAGCCACTGCCACTCTTCATCATCAGCAAGTTAAATTCACAAGAAAGCAAACTTTTTAAAAAGTCCTCACTCAGGGATATGTTTATTGATTTCAGAGTGAGAGGAAGGGAGGGGGAGAGAGAGACATTGATGTGAGAAAGAAACATCAATTGGTTGCCTCCTGACCAGGGATCAAATCCACAACCCAGGCATTTACCCTGACTGGGGATAGAACCCACAGCGTTTCGTGTGTCGGACGAAGATCCAACCAACTGAGCCCCCCAGCCAAGGGAGGCAAGGCAAACTTTTTAATACTAGCCAAAATGAAACTAAATTTTTAAAGTTTGGCCAAAGAAATTGAATTAACTTTTAACTGATTTTAGAGAGACAGAGGAAGTACGGTGGTAGGGGGTGGGGACATCACTTTGTTGTTCTACTTATTTATGCATTTGGGGGTTGATTTTTATACATGCCTTGACTGAGGATTGAACCCACAATCTTGGCGTATTGGGACAATGCTGTAACCAACTGAGCCACCTGGCCAGGGCCCAAAAATTGTTTTAAAGGAATAAAGGACATACCTCCTAGGTTCAGAGTCTAAGACCTGACTTAGGGATTATCCAGTAGTCAGTATGGGGAGGACTTTCAAATGAAAGTTGAAAGTTGAAAAGTTGACTGCATTTCTCTGAAAATATCTCAGGGGTGTGTCTTAGCTGGACCTTTCTTCCCCAGCACACCTTAGTGTGGCATATATATATATATATATATATATATATATATATATATATATATATATATAATGGGAGAGAGAGCACACTGTGCAACCTTGGGCCAGGCACTTCCCTCTCTGGGCTCTGGTTTGTTCAACTCTCCAATGAGGATAGAACAGCCAGACTTTGAAGGCACTGACAGCACATCCATTCCCTGGAGAGCTGCAGGGAACAGGCAGTACTAGGGCTCTCGCACGTGGGCCTCTCTCCCACTCCAGCGAGGCCATGAAGGGCCCAGCCCCACCCTGGTGTCTGTGTCAGCAGGAGGAGGAGAGAAGGGGTTTAACTGGTGGCCCCACACTCGCACAGCAGGGCCCTGCCACCCCAGGCCAGCCCCACTCAGCCCTGCAAAGCTGGGCAGCTCTTTTTCAGAAGTTCCTTCAGCTCCTTCTCAGCTGGAACTTGTCACACTCTCAGCCGGAGTACTTGGGAAAGGTAGTGACCGTCACAGCCAGCCCTGCTCCAGGGAACTGCACATCCTGGATCTGGGACCCAAATAGGTGACGTGATGGCGACACCTCAAACCCGTAAAACCCACTCTGCCCTTGTGCCCCAAACTGCCCCTCCAAACGAGGAAGGCAGGGTCTGTGTGTCCTCCTCAGTCTGACTCCCCAGGCAGGGGCCACACCTGCACCTCACACTGAGGGCAGATCCTAAACCTCCCCTTGTGTATGGAAGTCCCCAAGGGCAGGGCCTCAAGCCTCCTCTTATCACTCTTGGGGCATAACTCTGAGGGCAGGTCTCCCGCCTTCGAGTGTCTGTGGGAAGGGAAATGACAGGGGCACCAGAGTCCCATTTGGCTCCTTCTCAGGCCAAGGACCCTCTGCCAGCAATGGGGTGACAGGCATTTCCACGGGTTAGTTAGTGGACAACCACAGGGCTAGGGCAGTAACCGTGGCTACAGCCTAGGGGTACAAGGTTCCCTGAGGAGCTGTTTCCATCCTCAGACAGGGGCTCCTAAGGCCAAAAGTTGTCACTCTCCCATTTAAATGGAAACTTCCTCAGGCAGGATGTTTCCTCTCTCAGACTAGGGACTTTCAGAGGGTAGGAACTAAGCCTCCCTTCATATCAGAGGCCCCTGAGCCAGGGTGCTGGCTCCTTGCAGACGGGACATGAACACCTTCTCCACAGGAAGGATCTTGTTGGGTTTGGAATTAAGGAAATTAAATGCCCAGTGCCCTGGGATCAGGGTGGGGTCTTGGGACATAGGGGCAGACCTCAGAGGTCTTTCCCAAACTCCTGCCTCTGAAAATGCTCAGACCAGCCCAGGAGGGTTGGGCAGGACCCAGGATGAGGCCAACAGAGCTGGTGAGGGAGGCAAAAAAAAAACCCCACCTCCACCCCAGGGGCCCATCCTGCCAGCAAGGGAGGGCAGGAGACAGGAAGCTGCAGTGGGCAGAGCTATACTGCTACTGGGGCGGGGACCCAGTGGCCCCCACATGTGAGATCCCTGACTCTTGTTCCTTAGTCCTGCTAGGTTCCAGGACTTTGCAAAAAAACAAAATCACACAAACTCAGGATTCTCACTAAAGCACCACCCCCACGCCTCATACTCCGAGTCCTGGATCCCCAAGAAGGGCCTCCAGACTGAAACATTCAGACTGAGAGACCCACAGGGAGCCCCCATACTGAGATCCAAGAGAAGGCCTCAGAGTAACCTCTAAACTGAAGCCTCACAGAGAAACTGGAAAGAAACCTTCAAACTGATCCTTCATAAAAGTTCTGCCCAGTGGGAGAGATGCAGAGAGGCCCCGAGCTGATCTATCAAGGAAACCAAAAACAAAACCATGAAGGAAAAGTCAGGACAAAGAGGCAGATACAGAGACTCATGGGGGCCCTCCCTTCCCAGCCCTCAGCAAGACAGAGGTACTCACCAGAACAGATGGAAGAGAGAGATGGAAGGAAAGTATAGGGCCAGGTGCCCAGAGTGAGGATTTATATGCCAGCCCCACTGGCCCTCAACTCGGCATTTCCAGGAAACTGAACGTGCCCTAACCTGATCCTGCCGAAGCCTGGCCTTCGGCCACCTCCGTGCCCTCCCACCGGGTACCCTCCCTCTCAGAGACTGCCAGCTCTGCCACCAGCTGAAGGACAGCTCAAGGCCCAGAAGGCAGCCCCTGGGCACACCCAGGCCCCAGAGGGAGTGGAAGGAGCAGCCTGGGCCCGTTTGTGGGGCCTGGAGACTCATGTTAGGCCTTGTTCTCATGACATGCCTGTGAGTCACAGCTCTTTCATGTGTCACAAGCTACAAAGGCACACTGGGACTTCACAGACGTGTGTGTGTGTGTGTGTGTGTGTGTGTGTATTTAAAGCAGTCTACAATCACCCTTAGAAAGCTGGGGGCCAAAAAAAAAGGTGGGGAAGCTATAGGAGGAGGAGGAAAGTAGGGCGGACTTCAAAGAGTGGGGACAAATGAAGTTACTCTTTATAGCCACCACCAGAATACTTTTTAATGAGGTAATAAGGAAAGTGGGTTTGCTTAAAAAGACCTTGAAAGGCCCACTTTGGGTCTGAAAAGTTCTGGAAGGAGATAGGGACACAATGCGAGATGTAGATGGCTCTGTTCACCACTGGAGTCGATGAGCAATAGACTGTTGTGACCGTAAAGGAGTCCAGAGCTGAAAGGGAGAGCTTTCGGACCTCCTCCTCTCCAGCGTGGGGGATGGGTGATAGAGGAGGGGTGTGGCAGCTTTCCAAGCCTGGAAGCCAGTCCCAGGGCAGAGGCTACAGACCCCAGCTCTCCCTCAGCCTTCCTTACAGGCAATCCCTACACCAAGAAAACAGTGAACATTGTGGACATTCAGGACCCAGCCTAGCATGCAGGTTTCTGGGGCAGAGCAGGATTCATGCTGCCCCCTTCCAGGCCTGCTCTCTTGGTCTCTCCCAAACTCAGTCTGGGCACTGCCCTTTCTGCAGGCCCGCCTCTCCTCCCCCACTCCAGATGTCCAGCAGATTTTCCCCTATCCCAGCCCCCTACACTTCCCCTAGTCCTACGCGATTCATGACTCACCCCTCGTGCAGGCCCAGATGCCCCAGGCAGTGAGTCAGCAGCTCCCTCACAGCCCTCCTCCCCCAGGGCCAGCGCAGCAGGCGGAAAACCCCAACCCTGCCTGAGACCCTCTAGTGGCCCACCCCGGGCAGCTGTGGATTACAACACAACAGAAGTTCAGACTGAGAACTGACTAGGATCATATGTGAAGCCAGCTGGCCTCTTCCTGGGGGTCACCTTGGGACTTGGGAAGCAGCCAAGCATCATAAATAAAGTCAGGCCCTGGAGCCCCAGGGTCCTCTTCTACACTTTTGCACACCACCCAGTGTCCCCTCCTTCCCAGGACGCCTGAACCTCCCATGCTACTGCACTTCCTCATCAAAACTATCACATGGAGCTTGGAATAAAAATTCTTTACCCTGAGCACCAAGATCAATGCGGAGTGAGAAATGAGTGAAGAAAACAAGATGGAGTCAGTACAGCTAAGCTGACTTAAAATGGATTCTTTATAGTGAATTTGACAAAGCTGGTTCAGACCAAATAGGCTGAAGCATGAGGAATAAATTTTATTTTACTTTAGCCTGAAGACTTAAAGTTTTGAACTTTCCGGTTATACGGCAATGTCTGGAGATACATAAATTCCCACAGATAGCCCTCTGAAGGACTTAGAACAGAATAAAAAACTTAGGAAAGAACCTTCACTAGTCCAGAGCACCTGCCATCCACTAGCCAGACCACTGAACATCTGGAAGGTTACTACCACAGACCAGAGGTTGAGATTGAAGAACTGATTGTTCTCAAGAATGTACTTTTTCCTATAAGAATTCTCAACTTTTCTTTCTTCTTCAGAACACTCTGGGTATTGCTTAGTTGCGTTTTCAATTTGCAAATCCTAAAACCCTCTAATAAATCTTTGTCATTATTTTCTGCCCAAGCCTCCTGACTCCTTTATGCTCATCAACAGGTGCAATGCATTATTTTTTCTCAGCAGTCCTTCCATTTTAACTGAGAGTTTTAGCAGATGCCTCTCCTGCTCTGTAATTGCAGTGGTGTCCCCCGGCTGTTCTACAAAGCCCAGAAATGAGGTCCACCTGCTTTCCAACTTCCCCGGCATATGCCCTAACTGCCTTGTTCATTGCTCCTGAACTATAGATACTGTACCTGGGGTGGCCAACATCCTTTGCATATGCAGAGGGATCCTATTGAAATCCCACCTGTCCTTCAAAGCCCAGGTATATGCCATCTACTTCATGGAGCCTCCCCAGGCCCAACGGGATTCCATCTCTACCTGCTCTGTCCCATACAAAGCACTCCTTTTGTCCTTGTGTCCTTGTGAGCATTCTGCTTTAGACTGAATGACTTGTGGACATGTCTTCTCTTGCCCTTGCCCCCACATGGTGAGCTCACTGGGCAGGGACTGGGTCTTACTCATTTCTGCATGTGGAAATGGTCTCTCCCACACCAGCTGCCAACTAGTGTTTGTGGTTACTGCATGGCAACAGAGATCAGGGAGCACAGGGGGTAGCATTTAGGAGGCAGGAGGCCTTCTCACCTCCCGTTATGTTACCAGGTCATAATATCTCTGGATCCCAGGAGTGGAACTGAGACACTGGGTTGGAAAACAGAGCTTCAGAGAGCTACAAATCCCCGAAGACTGACTGCAGGAAACATCTCACTCCAGGGACCCAATGAACAAACTCCCCATCAGGGAGAGATGAGGACAGGAACAAGAAACACAGAGGCAGACAGATGGAAACTAGAAGAAAAGATCAAAGAAAAATATTTACAGAAATAAAGAAAATGTGACAGAAAAAGAAATAAGGTGAGAAAGACAGAGAGGAGAGACAGAGAAAGAGAAGCTGAGTTGATGATTACTAAGGTGGGGACAGGGCCCCACCTAGAGACCTGTTCCTAACCTAAGAACTGAGGGTAGAGGGTGTCCATCAAGTGGCCATATGCCTGAGACTAGTGAAAATCACATTAATTTGCCACCAGCATGCTATGTGATCTTGGGCCACTCCCTCCCCATTAGCAGAACAGGAAGATTTGTATAGAACCAACCCTAGAATCCAATCCCCCTTTTGACTTTTCACTTCTCGGTGAAGGCAGAGAAGCCAGGACACAGACAGGCAGTGGGCACCTTCCTGGCAGTGATGCTGGCCATGCCCAGCCTAAGAAGTAGGCTCCTCAAGGAAGCGCACACCAAGGCACATCATAACTACAACACCCAAGATTAAAGGTAAGGAAAGAATATTAAAAGCAACAAGAGGAAAGGAGAGAGTTCCTTACCTACAAAGAAGTTCCCATAAGACCATCAGCTGATTTCTCAAAGGAAACCTTACAGGCAAGAAGGGGCTGGAAAGAAGTTTTCAAAGTCATGAAAGGCAAGGACCTATATCCAAGATTACTCTATCCAGCAAAGCTTTCATTTAGAATGGAAGGACAGATAAAGTACTTCACAGATAAGGTCAAGTTGAAGGAGTTCATTA